GAAATGTATTCTCGTATTTCTACAATTTTCCCATTTTGTTCCCCTTGATTTGCTAGTGTTTAATACAAGCTTATAGTTGGTCAAAGAAATCATCATCAAAGAAGCAAAGCTTTTCAAAGTTACTACTGATTGAGGTATGGTGAAAATACCCAACAAATGATAGTATGAGGTGTGGTGAAATCATCATCATTTGTACTGCTTGTTACGTCCAAACTAAAGGACATAGAAGGCAAGAGATATTCAGCAAAATTAGGGTGCCTTAGGTAGGTTTTGCACCAAATTGAAAAGGTTAGAGGGGTATTCCAAAAAAACATAAAAATAAAAAAAATTAGGGGATATTGTGTCAATTATCCATTTCTTTAGGGTAGTTAGCATTAAATGCCCATGCATTTAACTTTATTATGCAAAATGTCTCAACCTTCCAATTTTTGGCATTTTCACACTTATTTCCACCTTTTTATTGTGCAAAACATCATTTCGATCGATTTTCATTCAAATGCTCCGTTAAGTGAACGCGTAAGCGCTACTCTTGTCCAAAGAGAAATGTATTCTCGTCTTTCAACAGTTTTCCCATTTTGTTCCCCTTGATTTGCGAATGTTGATTACAAGCTTATAGTTAGTCAAAGAAATCATCATCAAAGAAGAAAATCAATGTCTTCAGCCACACTCAATGCATAAGTTATCAAATCTGCTTCCCCATACTTCTGTGGAAGTCTAATTTGTCTGGAGGTCTATCCTTAGCTATAGAATATTGTAGTGATGGTGGTGTAGGCAAAGTATGCAAAATATTACTGTCTGTCAACCCCGAACTGGACTGATTTATAGTAAATTGTTCTGTAACATCTGATTGTTCCTCCGAACCAATTTATAACTCCACTTGAGTTGAATGATTCTACTCCTTTGTTTTATCAGAATCCCAGGAGGTGAACCACGAACCATAGCAAGTTCATCAAATACTACATCACTACTAACAATCACATTTCTTGTCTCAGGACACTGCAATTTATAACCCTTCACACCTGATTTCCCAAGAAATGTCACGTGATTAAGGAATGTGATTAAGGAATTTATAACCCTTTGTTGTGATATAAGAGGAATACCAACGAAGAAACGCAAGTACTTAATAGGTGTTATAAATCAACATTATTTATAATATATTAAATATCATATTAAGTGAGAAATTTTTTTTGAACGTTTTATCCTTACTACAATTCAATTATTTTAATAATATCCTACTTTGTTTATTTTTCAATATATATTTAGTGCTTGTTTGTCTCTCATTTTGGGAGAAGAAATAGAGTTTGAATAATATTTTTTGGAGAACGTGTGGTTGAAAAGTAAAGTAATTTTATTGGTTTGTGTGTAGAATATTTTATTGAGTGAATATGTGGTGGAGATTGTTTACTATAGCAAACAATGTTTGATAAAATAGATGACAAATAAGGGCTTAATTATTTTAACCATTTGAACAATCTAGAGATAATGTGTATTCATAATAAATAATTCCAATTGAGCACGAGTAATTTGAGCAATATAAAGATGATAAGTGTAACGACCCGAGTAATTTTCTCCGGCCGTTAACATATACGTACTGTCCGCACAATTGGTACCAGGTTTCAACTTAAGTCTCCCATATGAGTTGGAGGTCTTGGGTTCGAATCTTGGGGGACGCGTCCAGAAAGCCGTGAGGGGAGAAAATTACTCCCCATAG